TCCAACCCCAGGTTCCCCCCCCCCCACAGGGCTGCGGGGGAATTCTTGGGAGTGGAATCCCACGCATCTTAAAGTTCCCAAGGTTGAGAAACACTGATTTACTGTCTTAATAAAGGAGGGGGGAAAGTCCACAAGAGGAGTTTTCCACTCTGTCTTATCTCAATTCCTGTGAACTCACAGGAGCCATTGTGACATACTATCATCTCTGTATGACCAAACCACCGTCTTTTCCTGTGACACATCTATGTTTTCCCAGACCTGCTCTGAATCCTTGTCTGATCATATCTCTGGAGAATTTGTGAAGATGCACCAGCTGCTGAGCGACAGGGAGCTGGGTATAAAGCAGGCCTTAGAAAATCAGCGGGAAAAGAACCTGGCTCAGATGGAAACCAAGTTAAAGGAACTGGATTGGAAGACGGCCTCATGTTCGGAAACTCTCTGCCGTGTACAGGCAGGCCTTGAGTGTAAAGACCACATTAGTTTCCTCAAGGTAAAGGGGACCCTGGGCTGTGGGGTTTGCTTGGGGAGAAGACAAGAAGATTGCACCAAACCATGATTTGTTCCATTATTGTTTGTTGCCCAAGTTACCATGACAGGTTCAGACATTTCATTAAAGCATAAAAGACAGGTTTGGTTTTGGCTTAGGGCAGTGTTGTCCAAACTTGGCCGCTTTAAGATGAGTGGACTTCAGCTCCCAGAAGCTGGCTGGGGAATTCTGGGAGTTGAAGTCCACTCATCTTAAAGTGGCCAAGTTTGGACAACACTGGCTTAGGGGGTGATGTGATCCCAAGCAGCGAGAGAGAGAGATTGAATGAGTACCGTATACCCAATCTAGCTATTCGTTAGGAGCATCAGAAAACACAAAGAAAATGAGATTTTACCAGCTAAAAGTGGTACTTTATATTCCCATGATGTAAGGTTGCCCATTTTGATTTCAGTTCACATTGAAAATACAGTACACTGCCTAAAATTAATTTCCAGCTTTGCTCATATAAAAACTGCTTTGCATCTCTTTGCTTCTGTTCCCCACTGATAAAAGCTCTGCATTTTCTTTAAGGCTGATTTTCTTTAAGCTGCTGCTGGGTTCCATGGCGTTTGTTCATTTAAAAGGGAGGTTTAAGCCAGAACACGCTTCTTCATCACCCTTGGGTTTTTCATGGCGTACCAAGCTTTGTCACTCTGCATGCCCTCAGTTTTCTTTTCTTCCTTGTATGTTGTGATAGTATTTCACTGGCATGTTTTTTTTTCTGATAATAAACTTGGGCATGGTCTATTGCGACAAGAATCTGCTGTGCACCATTAAAACACAGGACACTTTGACAGGAAAGTGGGTGGTAACCCAGTGAAAGAATTATTTTGATTGTTATCTCTCCTTCCTTCCTTCCTTCCTTCCTTCCTTCCTTCCTTCCTTCCTTCCTTCCTTCCTTCCTTCCTTCCTCCCATAGGAGGCAAAAGAATTGCTGGAGAGGTAAGTGTGTTTCTCTTTTTTTTTTTGTAATAAATATATGAAAGGATGAAAAGCATGAACCAGCAGAGGAGGGCCGAGCATTGAGGGGACTCTGATCCTACGGGGTACATCAGATTTGCCTCCCCACTGTAGGCACAGGGAAGGCTGGCCAACTGAGCAGCAAAAGAGCAAACCATCATCCTGACTTGCTCTTCCACCTTTCAGAAGCTGCTGGATCTGCCAAAATGAGTAGGTGAAGCTTCTCTGCCTATGGCGGTAAAGTTGATTTCTTGTTAACTTCCATTGAAAAACTCTGCTATAATTATAAAGTACTCTTCCTTCTTGGGGCCAGAGGCAAAGCAAGGTTACTTTTGGCCATGAAAAGAGTTTAGCAGGGGAGAAAAAAAGATAGCTGTTCTTCTGGCCCTTTGGCTCCTACCCAAATCATTTGTAAAATCTCTGTGAAACTATAAAAGAAGGTAAAGATTCCTTGAGTGAGGCTTCACTTTTGATGATGACATGGACATTTTCTTGGCAACAGTATGGAAGTCCTTTGCCATTCTTTCTTCTGGTATGTTTTTGCAACTGCCCTGGGAGTCTCCCATCCAAGTACTTATCAGATCTGAATCTACTTAATTTTTTTTAAAATCAGCCTATGTTGGCTTAGTGCTGTTCTCTGCTGTGATTATTAAAAAATGCATGGGTGCTTCTCATAGAATCTGATGTATGGAGCAAGAGAAGGTATACTTGTCTTCCATTTCTGATCTTCCCACTATCCCCCAGTATTTTCCATACCTTTTTTTCCTAATTGCATAAAATCCATTAAAGAGGGGAAAGAGAAAGTTGCAGAATCCTTCTTTTTGTCCAATAGTGCTCAGAGCTCTCTCTTTAGAAAGAGCCAGATGTGATTCCTCTAGGTTGGGTAAAAAAGGAGCAGCTCATTCTAAAATGGTTGACCCTGCGGATGTTCTTCTCCTGCAGGGTCCGTAAGGAGCAAGGAGCCCCAGATGAACATGAACTAGATGCCAAGGTAGGAGAAGATGAGCGGGGGGCCAGCAGTGAAGACACAGATGAGTGTGAGAATGAGGTTGATGAAGGGCTGATGAGAGAGGAGGAAGATGTTGATGAGGAAGAAGAGGAGGAAGAAGAGGAGGAGGAAGAAGAAGAGGAAGAGGAAGAACAAGAGGAAGAACAAGAGACAGCAGCAGTAGAAGAAGAGAAGGAGGAGGATGAAGATGGAGTGGTGGCTGTAGACTTGAACCTGGGCGAGTTTAAAGGACCTCTGCAATTCTATGCCTGGAAGGAGCTCTTGGGTGCAGTACATCCAGGTGAGACAATGTGGTGATGAAGTTTTTAGACCCAATATATTGGTACTGGTTTATTACTTTTACACCCCACCTTTTCTCTGGAAGTTCAAGGCTATGTATCTCCACAGCAATAGCCCTGTAATGTAGTTTGGGCTAAAAGAGAGAATGGCTGGCTCAAACTCACCCAGTGAGCTCATAGTCAAGTGAAGACTCGAACATGGCTCTTCCTGGTTCAAATGCAACACCTTCACCATGATGCTCCCCTGGCTGTTTAACAATCCAGGATGTGTATGGTTATAACTTTCCTTATTGCTTTTTAGACGTTCTGCCTTGTTAATCTCAGGCACCCAAGCATCAGGAGTGGCGAATGTGAGTGGATGATGGCAGGACACATCCAGATATCCTTCAGTTCATCACATAAAAAGCCCCAGTGTCTGATCCCTTATCCTATGGAAAATGTATAGTTTGTATGCATATGGAGTCAATATGACCACTGATCGTGTCATGGTTGGGGGAATTGGCACTGCAAAGGTCTCCCCTTCTTACCACAATACGCTGATTGTACACCTCTGGAGATGTCCACCTCTTGTTTTGCTTCAAACTTAAAGCTGGTCTTAGGGCTTCTGTTAAGTCCCTTGTAGCTGGGCAAGATCAAGGAGGCAAGAACTGTACAAGAGTTCAGGAAGGTCTCTTTCATGTTCATCTGGGATAAATACAGAATCTGGGAAACTGTAAGAAGAATTTCCCATCTCACTGATAATGTGTTCATAAGGTGGAGTTGCCCTGAATGTTCTGAAATACTTCTTCCCAGGTTTCTGATCCCTGGGCTAGTGTGATGGAATGGAATTATGAAGGCCAGGCTCAGGGAGATAAACATTTTTTTAGCTCCCCAGAAGACCGTGGGAGGAATAAGAGGATGAGACTGGCACCTCCCTGAGGAATTCACACTGTTGTGGCTGGGGCACTTTTGGGTCTGGGGGTTCAGTCTGGGGAGATTTTTGTTAGAGGGTGTTGCTTATTAAAATAAATTGGATGGAATTGTACTGTC